CTGGCTACTGCTCTCGCTTTGGCCCTCAGGGAGCCGGCTCCTGACAGCATCACAGAGAAAAGAAAAAATTGAAAAGTCAAAGTGTATGTGAAATGTGTGTGTGCATCTCTCTTTGTCTGACTGCCATTCTCTCCACCACCATTGTTCTCTGCTTCTCTCAGGACGCCTCTCCTTTCGTCTTTGCCTCCCATTTCAATTTCACCCACGTTCTACTGAAAAGACACTAAGAAGTGTTGTTTCAAGTCATTCATTCCTTTCAAACCAGTGCTTGCCAGTGGTTGGCTTTTTGAAAAATGAAAACATTAAATCACATGTATTATTGGAGCCACGTATGTATAACGTTTTTTTAGACTTTGTAAAAAAGAAAAACATTCAAGAAATTGGTAGGTATTTAAAAGCTTATTTTTATTTCTCCACCAGGCACATTTCCAATGGTAAAAAATTATACAAAAAATACAGTTATCATCATAACAAGTAGGGATGTATAGAATCAACTCACAATCCGACACAATTCACGATTTTCTTATGATTTTTTTTAACAAAATGACATTGAAGATAAATTATGACTAAAAAAGATTTTCTCAGAAAAATCTCAAATATATTTTTTATTAGGTTTTCTTAATAAAATTTTAGAATCTTTTTTTGTTAGGTAAGGTATAAACCATTTAACATCTCACCAATTTGAATCTGACATATCTGTGATTTGAGATTGTGATCTGAAAGTCTGATGAAAGGATTGATACCACTCTCATGTCTGTAAGCTTAATATGAAGCCAGTAGCTGGTTAGCCTAGCTTAGCACGAAGACTAGAAACAGTGGCGCAATAACTTCCCAGAGTCATGGCTGGTTGCCTGGTAACATCACAGTGATTACAAAAAAAAACATAACCCACCACATGTCATTTCACTTAGGTTTAAATGCGGCTCAAACAAACAAGATATAATGTGTTTATTGGAGTAGTAGACCCTAGACAGTAGCTTTGTCTTTACCGTACAGACACGAGAGTGGTGACAATCTTCTCATCTAACTCTAAGTCATACTACAGTGATAATTTAATAAGTTGTACTACTATAAAACATCCAGTTTGTCCATGCAGTTCAATCATGCTTTGGTGTTCCTGTTTGTCTAGATTTCCATCTGACCATCCATGATCCATGAAATGAAGATACGACGAATAAACCTCCCTATTTTTAGGTCTCACTAGGTCTCCCTCTACTTGGACCCTCTCAGAAACCCTGCTGCCCTATGGGACACAGCTGCATGATAAACAGGGGGCGGGGGTCTCTCAGAGCGCTCCTCTGGCCGGAATTAGTTGGTGTTGTTTGATGTCCCCTTCACAGTGACTCGAAAAAGCGCAATATAGAAGAGGAACATAGCTGACATCAGGGCTGACATGAGAGTTGTCCTCTCAGTACCCTGACAGGTGCTGTTCATGACAGCAGACAGCCAGCAGTGAGTCACACAGAGAGCTATGTGTCAGGCTATGGGTTGGGTCGATTTCCTGCGGCGGAGACATATGCTTTTGGCATTTTCTTCACAGCGAAACTGGCTTATAAGAGACATTTTCCTTGCTGTCACCCTCCCAGTCTTTAGTTATTTAGCACATGAAGATATATATGCATGTCTCTCTTGTTTTATAACCATATTTTTCCTGTTGATGTGTATAAAAGTTTGTGTGGTCTTGTGTGCTATTTTTAGAGTGGGCTATTCCAGGTAACATGGATAATGTCACTTCCCCTGCCATATCCCATCTTGTGATACCTGTTGGAGTGTGTGTGGTTGGCTCTGTTAACAGTGCTGTCCTTTTAATCAGCACCCCTGTGTGGTTCCCCCTGTAGAGCTGTCGCTGGTTGAGTGATGATGTTAAAGCTGCCACTGTTTACAACATTTAAATCCTCTGGCAGGCAGGGGTGAGATTACCAGCCTCTTACCTGTTGCCCTAATCAAAGGAATTATTACCGCACCGCTGGATGTTACTTGGAATAGCACCCTCTAAAAATACACACATACACGTAACACACACGCAGAAAGGGCAGAGGGAGGGAGCCCATCAGGTAGCAAAGTACATCCATCCTTTGTTTGACATTGTGTATCCATCACTGGACTATACTGGTTGTGGTGCTTGCCGGGAGTTTCCATGGTAGCACTTTTTCACTCTAGTTTGCAAGTATAGTTCTTCTGTGTTGACAAATCGATGAATAGAACAGAAAATAATAGAGTAGTATTGCTTGCGCCCATATTTCCACTCGGCAGCATCTCAAGAACCAACAGTGGTCTCTGTTTTCAAAACTGCTGCTTAATATTTTGTCTGTTACTGGACTAGTTTGTTCCAGACAGTGTGTCCATAAATAAGCCTTTTTACTACAAACATTTATTACAATACTGTTTTTATCTTTCTATCTATTGGTGTATCTATCTGTCTGTTTTAAATATGTACTGTAGCTGTCTGTCTCTCTGGATCCTGCTATTGTGTTCTCACCTAAACCCTCATCAGAACATAAATACTGGTCTCTGCATACATGACATGGTTTCCTTTTTTGGTTCAGAGCATACCCACTGATCCTCTCCCCTGGCTGAAGAGGCCTGTGAACAGCTCTTGGCCAGTGAGGCCACTTGACATGTACAATATTTGATCCACATAAGCTGCCACTGTGGGAGAGGCACATCCACATGAAGAGGAGAGGAGAGAGAGATAGGAGGCAGATGACTCCAAAGACAGAATGGATGGAGCTGGGTCAATATTGAGTGGATCAATGGCAGGTTGCTTGTCATAGAAATATTGAATCCTAAAGCAGTTTGTGATTACTAATTGATTTTTTCTTTTTTGGTTTAATCCCCTCATGAAGTAAATCACTTTCTGTGAAAAGTAATATCCAAAGCAATATATTCTAAGACGACCCTCTGTGTTCTTTAAATGTGGCTGTATGCAGCTAAATGCCCTAATATTTAATGTTTACAAGTTGATGAGGTGTCTTGCTGTCCTTGATATTAATAATTCACGGTGGCTTAGAGGCACAGTTTGTTCAATTTCCACCATTGTTAGATGATTACACACTTGATCTGTTCAAGCCCACATGAGAGCCTAATAACTGCCCATTGCTGCAATTGCTGTCAAAGGGATGAAAGAGGTTGCTACTGTATAGTTTACTTAAAATATAATAGTGTTTCTTGAAACCGAAACAGTATATGCGCATGTTATTAGATTATGTGGCTAGTAGCCATTATATTGTGCTGACTTTAATCTAAATAAAATTGTATTTTAACCAAGCTTTGACCAAATTTAACCCCCTAACCCATTTACATAGGTTACATAAAGAGCTGTTTAATTCATAAACCTGTTCATTTGGCCTTTATGTAAGTGTGTATATAGAGTGATAATTAAGAATGCTTCCTTTGTAATACAGTAGAGTATTATAATTTTATTTCAGCACTTGGCCTCAATAATATAAAGGTTTAGGACATTGCTTTGAAACCTTCTTTTTTTATGGGTGTACATGAGATGGTTGAGCGTTGCTAAAGATGTTCCCCTGGGAAAGACACATCCTTCAGGAAATGGCCATACAGGAAGTAATAGGCAGAGAGCTTGTGTAGATGATGTACAGTGGAAATGATGGCGTGGCAAATGTTTCCAGGATAACATCTGTAGCATGCCTTGTTAGATAGCTGTATTTGTTGCAAAATTCATTAACAACTGTGGTCATGTGTATAAATACCCTTTAAGTAACTGGACTACGACCTCCACAGACATGTGTTCATACATGCACATACACACACATATGTGCAATACACATTCACAGACTTAGTATAGAAGGCATCGCTTTCTGTTTCAAATGTTTTTGATTTATTTATTTATTGTACTTGTCTGTTGGTATGCCACAGACTTGAATGAAATGAATTTCCCTTTAGGGGCAATAAAGAATATCTAATCTGATCTAAAAAAAACAGAAGATATGACATACCATTGACCATTGGTCATGTTAACCAGCTAATGAGTCACTTTTGTTTTATCCTCTTCAAACTGTACCCAAAAGATGTACTTTATGATGAGCCTTCTGCAAAATGGAACAAAGGGGACTGTCACAGGAAACAATTTTTTACTGATCCTACAAAATTCAACATGAATAAACCAGGATAATCCCAGATGTAAATACAATCTGCAGAACAGCAACTTTTCCCCACTTAGTTGTTGAAATCTATCCTACCATGTCTATGGTACTCTAAGTTTATCTTGCAAAATGATTGTATAAAGAAACCATTACCGCTACAGTTCCTGTCCTGTACTGGGCAAAGCAAGATGGAGCTGTGATGATGAGGTGAGGAGTGACACAAGGCGAATCGCAGTCACTGCTAAGTACAGGAAGTGTTGAGGAATTTGTCTTGTCTTTGCTGCGGACATAAGGATATGAGATTGCTTGCCAAGTGGAGGATTATCCTCTTTTCCATCTATAGTGTTGTCCCTGTTTCGCTCTGTCTCCCTGTCTGTCCCTTTGACCCAATCTGTAGTTTACATTTACATTTTAGGCTTTTAGTACACTCTCTTATCCTCAGTGACATAGCTACCACTCAAAATCTATAGCAGAGCAGATGCGGAGGTGGTACTGTTTGTCTAATTTGCCAGCTCATTTCCACCACTCTCTGACGAAGGCAGCCTTTCTTAAGGGAAGCAGCTTCCTATTAAAAGTTTATTAAGCAGAAGCCAGAGGAATGATTAAAATTCAGCTCAAGCCAAATAGGATGAGCAGCATAGGCGGGGGGGACTGATTACACCCCAGTGTGTGTTATGCGTCCGAGGGCTTGTTTGTGTGTCAGGATCTCCCCTGAAGACATCAAAAGCATCAGTAATATTACTGTAAGTGTATGAAACGGCCGAATAATGGAATCAGCAGCACGTTGAATATCTGCAAATTGCACTTCACTAATGTTGTTTTGTCTTGTTTTTTATTCACTTCTCTCTCTTTCTCTCTCTCTCTCTCTCCTTTCTCCTCAATGAATCTCTTTAGAGTGGTCCAGTGCTGTCCTCCAGTGTCCTCCCCTCCCCTCAGTTTTCTGTCCCTCTGTCTGTCACCTGGTAAGTACACTCAGATTCACCTCCCACATATACAGTACAGAGGCTTTCACTGTTTTCAATCCTTTATGCAATCATCATCTCACTGCCTGGCTCGAACTGCTGCCATCGTTATAGAATAGCCAAGCACATGATAGGTATACATACCTCTGATGAGTAAGTATTAGTGTGTTGTTTATTTTACTTCAGACAGACGCACAATAGACAGTCATTATTACACAGTCAGACGTCAAAGATTCATTCTCTACTGAACAAATTACACAAAGTTATTATTTATTATTTTAATTAGTGCCTAGAATTTCAACAACATTAATTGGTAAAAGAAAAATCAACTGTATTGTCTTGATGGGGCAAAAGCTTATCTGCCCAAGGTAATGTTCCATGTTATTACTCTAACCCTACCTTGAATAGGTTTTAATGCCTCTTTAAATGACCACATAGCAGCTTGACAGATCAAATTGTGGTACAAATAGCCATTTTCAGATCTCTATGACACACCTTGTAATATTGCCAAACAAGAGACAACAGTTGTTATCCCACTGCATTGCCAGCTGGCCTTACATCAACCCCACACCTGTTGCCTGTCAGTTCATTTTAAATTATTGGTGTTTTATTTTTTGGTTAGTTACAAAGTCCCTCAAATAAAAAAAGATGATAAAACTCTCTGTATATGCTAGACATCGACTAGGATAGATTTGATGTTATACTGTGGGTACATTTAGTCTAAACTCAGCTGTATGTATAGGATACAGTAGTTAAGGAGTCTTTTTTCACAGAGGCAAGTCGAAGTATAAGAGATGATCAAACGTTGATCTATCTCATTTTTGGGGGAAATTATCAACTCTTATTTTATTACTGTAGGTTCAAGTGCCAAGGACACCTGTTGACAACAGTGTTCAGCTCTGAATGAAAACTATGTTGTGCAGAATGTGAATGTGGGAACACACTGGCTTTGGTTACAGGAAGATGTCTTCCGTGTTCATGATGGTGCCTTGCAAAATGTAGAGAAAAGCACAATTTCTCCATGTTAAAATGAGCGTACATCTAAATATTAAGAAGACAATTCAGCCGGTGCTTTTTTGCACGTACCCGAGAAAGCAACAACACAAGCCAGCTCTAATGTATAATTCCCAGCTATCTGTTATCGCCAATTACAGGGCTTGTTTACTAGAATCAAGGGACTTGGTGGATCTGTTTTTATGGCTGTGTGTGTGTGTGTGGCCAGGGCTTTTAATGATGGGGGTAGATGGTCTCTGTTTAGATATGTGTGTTCTCTGGTAAGGCCTGAGGGGGTGGTTGGGCTTGGTGGGCTAGTGAGTCCTTCTGTCTCTATAAATACGCACTGGGATCCCATTCAGAGGCTGAAATGCGCCGGTGTGTGTGTGTGTGTGTGTGTATGGTGTATGTGTGTGCGTCTTCATGACGCCGCTGCAGCCAAGCAAGCTAGAGGCTATTACTGGCCAGCAGGGTTGCTATGGAGACCAGTGGTGTCAGAGAGGAGCAACATCTGTGGGGTGTTTGTCAAAACAGGTTTTCCTCTTTCTGTTTTTGTCTTCTCTCTTTCTCTGTCAGTCTAGTAGTCAAAAACTTGCGGCATGAGAAAGACTAATGTTGACTGAAGTAATAAAACCTGATGAAAAATCTCCAGTCTCCCATCATTAGTGTTTTTGGTAAACATGGCACTTGAATGTGGAACCGTTTTAAAAGCTTAAATTTCTTTGGCGATAGTTCAGCTGACTATGCTCGATCATGCTCACAGTAGGCCCTCAAACAGCGCCAATCAGCAGGGACTTGGGGACTCTTTTCACTGGGTTTACGCCAGTGGAAAGCACACATTCTGGGGAAGCATTTAACCTCTGCCCCTTACTGCTCCCTCTCTCCACAGCTTCCCTCTCTATATGGACATGTTCTATTTCCACAGCTCCTTTCTCCTGGCTGCCTTATCGGCAGCTCAGCAGGGCACAAATTCTCTTTTAATAGGTACTTATTTGGGCAATGGGAGAAATCCCATATTTTTTAGCAACCCCTGCTCCCTCCCCCTGCCTCTTCTCCCCCTGCCTAGTCCTCCTTGTCTCAAACTTGCAACCTTCTATTTATTACTCATTTTCTTCTTCTCTCTTGCTGGCTTATCCATAATTCCCCCATGTCACTCTCTGAGATGGACAACAGTAAGGAGTACTGGTGGAAGGCTTCATCTTTGGCTAGAATTTCAGATGTTACAATGCTCTTCCAAAATGAAGTTTGTATTATTGAGTGTCCATTAATTTGGAACATTTTAATCCCCTTCAGGCATCCCATGGTGCCATTTTGCAGTAGCCAGCTCAAACAGTAAACTCAAAGTAGATTGAGTTTATCTGAAGGAAATTTAATCATTTTGAAATGAAATCTGGAGGCTTCTCAGACACTTCACATAGGTCAACCAGAATATGTTGTGTGTGTGTATGTGTATCCTCACTATTTCTGACCATGTTTGGGCAGACCTGGCCCCTGAAGAGCCCTCGGAAGGGTATGTGTAGCTGGGAAAACCAAACCTTTGACCTCCTAATCTGGTCTAAATGAGACCGTCACACATACAGCACCGTGCCACACAGCACAGAGAAACACCAAGTATGTGATGTAACATAGTAATTTGGGGATAATTTGGTATTTCCACTCTGCAGGCATCCCTCTGCAAAGGCCAGTTACCTAACTTCAACACCCAAATTAACAGGCTTTTGCATGTTGCTCTGCACCCACCTTCATCACCTCCAAATGAAACATCAATCCATTTATGCCAAGATTAGACTAAGCCTTGAGTGAGATTCTGACTGTGTCCTCATATGCCTCTGGGAATATTATAACATGAATGTCAAATAGCCCAAAGTGCATCTTCAGTGTTGTCAGATTCTTTTAGGGGCCAACACAGCAGGAAATGATGCAGTGCAAATATAAACTGCTGTATATAAAATAGTAATATAATTAATATATAAATATAAACCTAATTTCTGCATATAAGAGAAGCAAATATGAACTTAATGCTTGAATGTGCCAGAATAGAAGTGAAACATAAGGAAGTTGAGTGAGCGATTGAGTTTCATTTTGTAGTCATAGGCCTGTCAGAAAATAAATGTTCTGCAGTTTACACAGGCTGTTCACAGGCTCACTCTTCAGTCATATCCACATCACTCCTCTGTCCATGCTATGTCCACACACTGTTTAAAATCAACTGCGTAGACTTTTAAGTCTTTCTAATACCAGCGTTCCGGTGTGATGTTTCTATTATTAACCAGACACGGATACCATCTCCTCACCATCACCTTATGAAAAATGATCTTTTCCATATTCCATTTGGTGGCTTGAGTTACACATATTCATCACTGTACAAAGACTAGGGATTTCTAGCTGTATTTCAGGCCCATTCTCCACACACAAAGCTGCTTAAAACATCACTGTAAAAGGGATTCCCCAAGTAATGTGAAAGTCTTTTCTGCATTGCTGATACGGGTTGTTCTCTGCTTAAAGATTCAGTCCTGTATTGTTCTGCTTTCTTGTGATTTCTCAGTTCCAATTAACTTCATATTCCTTTTGCACCCATTATACTTACAAATAAAAGTAGTTTTGATACTAATATACTGTCTGTTTACAGATGGCAGGGGAGGTTTCGACTAGAGAACTGTGTCCCATTCGCAGGGTTGGGTTACGTGTGCTAATGCGCCAACCCAGCCCCCTCTACTTTATTACATTCAGGGAACTCCCTGACTAAGTGACTTTTTAAACAGACACACAAACACACTTGCAAGCACACACACAGTCAAACATACAGCGCTCTAAATACCTCTGATTAAGACTGCTGATAACCCAGGGACAGCCCTTACCCCCTCTCTCACCTCCTTCCCTTCCCCCCTCCTTGCTCTCGTTCCCTCTGAGAGGCCTCAGTGTTCCCTCACTGAGGGTAGTCATTGACCCTCGGGTCAGCAGACTCTCTCTGACACACACACACACACACACACACACACACACGGCTTTAGGCCATAATTTATTAGGTGGATGCTCCGTCCATTAGGCCATGTGTTAAATTCTTTGTGTAACACAATTTGGCAGAGGGTGGATGTAGATGACTATATATAGAACTCTTTGAGTATGTGGATGTGTGTGTCCCAGTATGGTTGTGTGTTTTATGAACTAATTTACATCTTCATCTGCGGTTCAGTAGAGATGAATCCTGGAAACTGACCAGACAATGGTCTTGTGTTTGAAAGTGAGGGAGCTCCTACTGCTGTATTTGAATGTGGGAATGTCTTATTCTTACGTATGTCCTTGCACTATATTTGTGCATGTGGTACAGTAAGTGCTTGTATGTTCACATATAATATGTTCTGTCTGACCACAGTTGGACACTGTAAGTCAGTGTGTGTGACTGAAAGACAGCCAGTTTCCATCCCAGGCTGAAGTTAATTATGTAACCTGGGACCGAGGAGTACAAGTGAGTGGGGTGATCCTCAACTATAAAAGGCAAAGAAGAGGGGTCATTTGGCTTGAAAAAAGACATTCTTCCTTTCACCGGCATAATACTTCCTTATCCACAATCCCAGAGAAACAAATAGTCATTACAGATTTTTATACATATAACCCAAGAAAAGCATATATCAGCCAACTGACTTTATAAAGGTTATTTTTATTTCTATTTCTATTAACTAGCAGTTACTTTATATCTCTCCCCAACAATGCTACACTGAGGGAGCAGCCTAAAGAGCGTAAGTGTGTAAAAGTTTTAAAATAAAGCTTTGCTTTCTTGAGAAAGGCTGATGTGACCTGTGAAAATATTACACCCACTAAAAAGGGTTGTACTAGAAGATTAACTAGGTTCTGTAGTTCAGAAACAAGAATATGGAGAGTGGTGCTGAGCTGGAATCTATTTTTAGTTATGTGGACTCTGAACAATCCTTAATCCTTGATTTCCCCATAACCCATTGTGTAAGGTTGTAGTCTGTATGTGATTTACCACAGTGCTCACTTGGTGTTTT